GGATTCCAAAAAAAGGAGAGGTCTGTGAAATGGCACAATGAACAGTCCAATAAGGACACAAGAGCCAATCCAGGTTCAAACAATCCAATACACATAAGGCATAAGGAAAAATGACAGATAAGAACTACAATCAACTTTCTAGCTGAGGAATGAAAGATCAGTCTGGGGAGAGGAGTACATAAGAGTGGTGGTAAAGAGTGCGAGAAGCATCTGCAGGAGAGACATCCAAACAACAGTAATCAAAGGTGAAAAAAACATTGCCAAAAGATAAGAAAAGGAGCATACCTGACAATAAAATCCGCAAATAGAATGAAAGGTTAAGGTCATTTCATAAATGGTCAAGGTCAAGAGCAATAGGTCTTAACTCGATTGAAGAGAAAGAAACTTGACTGACAAGACAGGAGGAGGCCCATTATGCATGCGACAATACACAACATGTTGAACAATGACTGCAATGATTCTGAGAGTTAACAAGCCTCCAAAAGCTATAGTAGAAATAAGGCTTAAGTGAGAATAACATCATTCCCTTAGGACTAAGTATAAATCACCATTATATGAAAATTCATGAGAAATATAAATAAAACTTTTGAAACAAAAGCCAAAGAAAATGAAAATCAGTTTTGTTAAGGATGCAAGTTTCAATAAATTGAGCTCAGATGGAAAATGTAAATATGTATGATCAACACAATGCCGAGGAAGAGAGAGAGAAGTTACCATGACTACAAATGCATAGGAAGAACAACTGCAGATGGTGGTATGATAACCTCCTATTTGTGGAGGGCTTTTTTTGCATGATGATGTCATCATATGGTAGCACAATTCAAGTTAGGTCACATCAAATTAGGTGGGAGTTGCCTTAAGGTTAGTGGCATGCAAATCTCTCTGGCAGATGTGTGAGAGGAATAGCTAAACTGTGTGCAAAAGTGAGTTATCATTTTGGAATTGTTTCTTTTTCAGAAATACTTATTAAACCGAATTACATGAAATTTAGTCCAATTACCTTACTAAACATTATGAAAGTTATAGTTTAAATAATGTTCAAATAATTAGAATTAGTATTTTCACAATCATTTAGGCTGTGAAATTTTCAAATCTTTGTTGTGAGACAGTTTTAAAAAACATAAAAAAGTATTTTCTTTCATCTTAGAGTTAAAAATTTTTGTTCTTTGTATACAAGTGACTACTAAATTTGGCAAAATAAAAGTATCAAGAGATTATAATAATGAATGTTAATAAACTTGAAGCTGATCTAATGCATAAAATGGAACTTTCTGATCAACAATGAACATCAAAAATTGACAAAGGGTTATTGAAAATTACCTTTGAAAATGATATCATCATTACATTTTTGCTAATAATATATTTCTTTTTTATTGCAAAGCTATACATATTACCTACACTCTGTCCCACAATGGAAATCAAACCCTAGATTTTAGCATTGCAAGTCCATAAGCTTACCACTGACACATTATAAGACCAATGTATATTGTTTGAATAAAATAAATTTAACAACAACAGTCAATAAATAAGGATTTCAGTCATGAGAATATTTAGCCATTGCCTACCATACTTGCTAAACCTACTTACACGATGTCTTGTCATAAAAGAACATTTCTATAACTTTAGAACAGATATAATTTAACATGAAAATATTTTCATAAATGAAAAAAAAAAGAAAAAAAAGATGTGCAGAAATAAGTATATGTTACAAAATGACAAAATATCAATTCTAAAACATTTTTGAGCTAATAATTGTTGAAACAGTTATAATTATTACTATTACTTAAATTTTGATATTGAATATGTGGGTGTGCAATTAACACCTGAAAGGTGCTTACAGGTCATGACTAGGTTAAACAATACCTCTGATCTGTTGGGGAAGCATAACAGGAAACTCAACATTGTATAATTTAATTTTATTGCACATACCCATCCATTCCTATGGAGTAAGGTTTTAACATTATTATAGATTTTAGCGTACGGACAGACACAACAGCCCCTCAACTAGCAGTATAGTATAAATACAACAATGATATTTTTGGAATCTGGAACCATGAACTCAAAAACCATGAAGATTTTCATTATTTCTTGAACATACATTTCACCTTTGAATTAAGTTAAGTTTGGATTACAGGTGACTTTTGTTACACGAGCTTACGATATCAGTGGTTTCATTTTGGTGCATTAATTTTCTGGAGGAGGCGGTATTCCTATTGTTAGTCCTGTAACTATCATAATTTTTCTGGCCAAAGAGCAAGATGTTTGTCCATAGTTAAAATTTTTGTATGAATGTATGTACATATTAATTTTGATATTAAAGTAATATTTTAAAAGTTTATTTACGTTATTTGTAACATTCTATTTTTTGCTCTTGTGTTTTAATGAGTAAGAGAAGTAGGAGGATTAGAGATGAACTTGAAAGGCAAAATTTATGAGTTTAAGAATACAACTTCCATTGTGTATTACATGTTGTAGGCATTGTGTTTTACCTGTTTTTGATATATGCAACGATTCTCGGGAACACAACCCCCGCATATAATGAGAGTTACCAGTATACAGAAACATATAGAAGCATACCTTTCTTACATGTTTGCATACAAAACAATGATAAACAAATACATAGTTCAATGTTTAACCCGCCTTCCTTCATTAGAAACACAGAGCAATTTACCTTTCTTACATGTTTGCATACAAAACAATGATAAACAAATACATAGTTCAATGTTTAACCCGCCTTCCTTCATTAGAAACATAGAGCAATTTACCTTT